CCTTTAAAAAAAAAATATTAATGGACCTTTCCTACAAATGCTTTTGGGCCTTGTCAACTTTTTACCAAACACTTAGACTGGGCCTGAATATATAGCATATACATTTTTCTTCTTGCCCTGGAAAATCATTGATTTCATGCTAAAATGTGTATTAATAATGAATAATGACTATGAAAACGAAATGTGGTATTGATCACTTACGTTTGTAAATATAATATGTAAATGCTAAAAGTTTGTATTTATGGTTTTGTCTTAAATCAGACAGTTATATAAATTTATTTCCATTTTATATGTCATAACTGTTTATATATTCACTCTGTTTTAAATTGCTAAATGTTTTTGGATTTTTGTTTTCTTTCAAAAATTTAGATGTTTTAATTTTCTGTTGTAGATATTGTTTCATAGTTAGTTCTTAGTTTACCCTTATAACATATACCAATAAAAATTAGGTTAGAGGAGTCATTACTAACAACTTTAAATATGTGAGAAAATCTTTAAAAAGGAGGGACTTTTTTTTTTTTAATAAGGGAGACTGAGTAGAAGCATCTCTATTCAAAAAACACCACAAACAATATTTTGTCAACACTTTATATTAATGACTCAAACGAGCCAAAACTGAGGAACATTGATTACATAAAGATTTAATAGCGGTTTGGATTGCATTTTGCAAACCAACAAATCCGCTTTAATATTAGACTCACACACAAACAATATAACTTTTTTTTTTGGTCAACAATATAACTATTCTCTGTTTTAAAAATTATTGATGTTATGACTTGGAAAATAATAGCATGCGGTTGTAAAGGCGGAAACATCGCGGAAATTATATGGGGCAAAGGGTACGATGAGCGTGTGGAACCCAACAGTAGAAAGCGAAGGCGAGTTTAGCTTGTCCCAGATTTGGATCACTTCGGGAAATTACGAGAGCAACAACCTTAACAGCATTGAAGTTGGTTGGCATGTACGTTTAAAATTAATCGTGTTTTTTTTTTGTTTTTCAAGTTTTTAAAATACATATACATAATGACTGGTACTTTTTTTTAACTTTTTAACTGTTCATTTTATAGGTTTCACCGGATATGTATCAGGACAATAAGCCAAGACTATTCATTTATTGGACGGTAAGCAGCTAAGTTAGGTTTATAAAACAAAAAAAATTGATTATAAGTTTATGACATCTGTTTTGCATTAAAAATAAGAATTATTATTACTATATATTAGTATTATCACCTTGATTAATCTAAAATTTTAGTTTTTTTTAGAAGCTAACTAGTATGAACTATATAAAATAGTAATACTATACCTTCTTAATTTTTATATACAAACACTATTTTTACAAATCTGAGTGTGTGTATACATAAAGACAGTCTCGTTTTTAAAATTACAAATCTAGTCGATTAAAAGAAAAAATGTGCATAAGACTACAGTAACACAATTTTTTATTTTGTTTTATCTCACATTATTATTAGTGAGCAGGATTTGCTTCTATTATATTGTTACTTTTTTTTATAGCAAAATGAATTTATAAGACAATAAAGTGAATACTTATATTAACATATTCTAATATTTAAATATGATTTGAACATTGGTCTTTAAAAACGAAAAAAAATGATTTGAACGTTGGCAGAAGATTTTATCGTAATCACACTCTCAATTTGTAATCATTTTAAAATTTCATTTGCTAACACGGTAAGGAACTATCGAAAATATGAAATAACAAAGATCATTGGTTAATTTTACAACTTAACTTTACGTAGTTCATCTTTTTAATGCCTATAAAATGAAGAGTTTTGGTGCATTGCCTCTTTGGAAATATTTAATTTAAAATAATGTTATATATTGTAAAATACTATATGATTTTGATATTAACAACAATAATATTACATTTTGTTCAGAGCGACACATACAATATTACTGGATGCTATAATCTCCAGTGTGCGGGGTTTATACAAGTTAGTGACAAAATTGTTCTTGGAGGAGCAATTAGTCCCGTATCTACATTCGAGGGCAACCAGTACGAGATCACAATGTCAGTTTGGAAGGTTAGATCGTTTTCAGTTTATTTTTTTTTAGTTTGCGTAATTAATTTTATATTTCCAAATAAAGAATAAAATATTATAGTTAGTTTGATGGTATACCTTAAATCTCTTATAAAAAAACTGAAATATATACTATAGTTTCATAGAATTTGAACCCACCTTATATCTTTTCTTATAACACTTTCTTCTTTAATTTATAACTAAAAAATCAGAAAAATAATAATTTGATTATGTATTGTTTATAATTTTAAATCAAATAATTCCGACAAAAATTTCAAGATTTAGTAAATATTTTGAATAGTTAATTTTTTAAAATTAGTTTCAACTTTTAAATATACAGTCAAACATTTTTTTCATTTAATAAATATTTTAAAGGATATGTAAACACACTTTATTAACAAATTAATCAAAAGCATACATTATAGATTTGTTTGACTTAATTTATAATATTTTTCTTACAACGAAAAATATTCACTATAGTTTTTTTGTATCTTATATTTCCCATTATTTTGGCTTGAATGAATGAAATCAATTATACTTTGAATTAAAAAAAATGAACCAAAGTGTAAGTCAACTTTTTTTTAAATAAGTCAGAAAAATAAAGTTAACAAATTAAAAAAGTATGAATCAATAGTTTAAAATTCTGACTATGTTAAAAATCAACCAACTATAAATATAAGTAATTAAAAAAAAATCTGGTGAATAAATTAAGTTGATAAAAATCATATATAAGTCAAAATTTTGATAAATCAAGAGAATTTTTGAGAAATAACTCTTTTGGTGTACCCATTTTCAAAAATACTCATTTTATCTATCTATTTTCAAAAATATTCCTAATTAAATATAAAAAGTTAAAAAATTTTCTATGGTTTATCAGGTACTTCTAAATAATAAATGCTACTGGAAGATTCGATCCAAATCATTTATAAAGTTTCTTAAAAGGGTTTTAAATGGTTTCTTAAATTTTAATACATCAATTTAGAATTAAATAATTTTACTATTAAGAAGCAAGTTAACAAAATAAAACAAAAAAAATCTAAGTTTAGAAATGTATAATCTATATAACAAATAGATTATAATTAAGTAATTTAAAAATTATGGTAGAATAATCGGTGATAAATAATATTGTAGGATCAAAAGTCTGGAAACTGGTGGCTAAGCTTGGGTTCCAACCATTCATTGGTTGGATACTGGCCAGCTGCAATTTTCGCAAATTTAGCATATGCAGAAAACGTGGAGTGGGGCGGCGAGATCGTGAATTCGCAAACTTTCGGCCGACACACAGCAACCCGTATGGGATCGGGTCACTTCCCCGATGAAGGTTTCGGTAAAGTTAGTTATATCCGGAACTTGGAGATCTTTGATAACAACAGATTCCAGCCTGTTCAAGACGTAGAAGTAAAGTTAACTGATACTGACCCGAGATTCTACAATATCAAAGACATGTTTAGAGATGATTGGGGTACTTACATATTTTTTGGAGGTCCAGGGTTCAGTCGTATACATTCAGGAGTCTCTTCTCTAGCATTTAGTTCAGTTTTCTTTTACTTTACTTTTATCATTTCTTTTATCATCTAGATTATTTCATATTTTATTTTCGATTTAACACTAAGTTGTAAAATATAAATGTTATATATATAGATTTTATGGATTTAATTTGAATAGGAGTAAAGTTAAGGTTGGTAACGATGTTGATCTGTTTTCAAATGTTGAATTCTTTCTTCAAACTCAAGGTTAATGTACGTGAACAGAAAACCTTGACCCTGAGGGTGGAGATTTTGGAGAAGAGAGCACAAAGTCAGCTTTCACTATCAGTTGATCAAGGGTCAAATCACACATTCTTTGAAACAAAAACTGAAATGTTACACCCAATAGTACACCAAAATTGATACAAAACACATCCTTCGCTATACCAAGAATCTTTTAAGTAGTGAGTTGGGTCGAGTTTGGACCCAATATATTTCTTGCCTACACTGTCTCTAAGTGATACTGATGATTCCAAAATCTGGACAATCAACAATATGATCAGGTCCTCCAAACCAAGATTCTTGGAACAACATCAACAATTGAGAAACATTCATTAAATATAAATTGTGATACGAAGAAACTCAGAAAGCTTAACAATAAGTGAAAAAACTGAGTTTTATATATACACAAGATAGATAACCTCAGAAGAAACTTCTGACAGAAATAGACGAGCCAGTATAGCCGGATGAAACGTAACTATCAAATTCAAAACCGTTGGACGAAGATCTGCTCTCCACAAACATTCAAACCAAACATGTCTAGCTATCACGCTCATATATAGGCTTGTCAAATAAAGTCATACAGTTAATATTACTTATCAATTAGATTTATTTCAAAACATTGTGCAAAACTTCATATACCAATGCAAAATACTAATCTAACCCAAATATTTTACAAATTAATCTAGTAATTAATCTCTTTATTTGGGTCAATCTAGTTTTTTCCCTATATAAAAAGTGCCAAAATGTATATGGTAAAGTTTTTCAATTAAAAATATTCAATATGCCAAATCTGATACCGTGAACATAATCACGGTAAAGTTCAATTGTCGACGATTAACAAAAAAAAAGAAAACCTCCCTAATTAAAACGCAAAACCCTCAAATTTTAAACCACCTACGTTCGATGAGAAGAACCACTCTTACGACAACCTACAAAAACATCAAGACCTTTTATAGTCGACAATGTCCTCTCTTATTTTGACCAACTAAAACAAAAGCTTAGTAACAAATTACACTATACATATTAGCACTTAAGTAAAACTAATTATAATCTTGAATGGTAAACGTAAGAATAAAAATAAATAGTAGTATTATATGAGAATATCCTAGTGATCATTAGAAGCGTTAATACTATAATCTTGAATGGCAAAAAATTATAATCAAAATAAATAGTTGTATTAAATGAGAATAATTTAATTGTAGAAGCGATGATATAATAAAATTGAGATTTTATTTCATAGAAAAGCATACATAAATCATGATGCGAAAAAAAAAGTTCATAATTCAACAGCTTGAATAGTTTGATCGGTTAATATTATTTTTTGCAACAACATCGTCCATTAACACATGCTCCATCTTTGAATTTCTTGTAAGTGCAGTCAAACCAACATTCATACTCTCGGTATCTTGCTGTGCATGGTATAAAGCATACATCATTTTTTGATGTTTCGATTACTGCTGTAACACATAACATGACAACTTATGTTAAACAAAAGTAATTTTTTTTTGAAAAAGATCAAAACATGATTGGACGATTAACAACATACCCGGTGAAGCCAAAACGTTGATGTTGGAGAATGAGTTTGTAAGTATCACTACAAGAAAAAAAATCACATAAGTTTTTGTGATATTCATTTTTTTTTCTCACTGTTAATTCTCTGTTGTAATCAAAAAGAAGAAGAAAAAGTATAGTTCTCTAAAGCTTTAAGAAAAAAGCTTTATTTATATGACTCTTTTGCCAAAAAAAGTCTAATGTTCAACCTTGTTATTTTTTTTTCCATAATTGAATCGTCCATATATGCTGATAACATTATTTTGGTGGTAAATATGACACTATTCTATATTAAGGTTACCAAATCATGGAAAGTCAACGATAAGTGATATTATATTGTTTATGATTTGAACTTAAGGGAGATGAGAAAAATGGACATAATGGTTTTTTTAATTAAGTAATATTATATTGTTTCTGATTTAGCAAGTCATATTAAATGCAGAAATTAATGTTAAGAAAATTTTAAATGACAATTTTTTTTTTTTGGGTCAACATTAGCATATAGTATGTTTATTTGCATGTATGGTATGATTTCATATATTTTAGGTGCCAAATCACTGAGATTTTGTCAAAATTTCTTCGGGTAACCATTTTAGTAATACAATACATATTTGTTAAATAGAGATTTCATGAAGCAAAAAGTCTTACTACATAATATCATTTATCAGATTAAATGAAATCTTTCTTTGCAGAATAATACAGTGGTTCATAACTCATGGGAGACATAATCCATTAAACATTTGTTCACGGCTAAAATGTTTTTTATTTATTTGGTATTTGCATTGCACAAAAGGTTTGGTATAAACACAAACCTTTTGTAAAACTAGATTTATGTTATTGAAGAACAAACATAATTGATGCCAAAAGAATAACACAATTCAACCATCATCCATATTTATCACATTTTACAACAACATTGTCCATTAACACAGCCTCCATCACTGTATCCATCTGACATACAGTCATGAAAGCATTCATATTCTCCGTACTTTCTTGTGCATGGTACAGAGCATACCACATATTTTGATGTCCCGATAACTATAATTCATGTTTAAGACTTTATGTTAGAAAAAATTATACTAACACATATTACATTTAAAATCATTAAAACTAATTAAGAGAATAACAACATACCCGATGAAGCCAAAACGTTAGAGTTGGACAATGTGTTTGTCATCAGTACAGCTACAAAAAAATAAAATCACATAAGTTTTTGTGACATTCATCTTTCTTTTCTTACTGTTGATTCTCTGGTACGTATATAAAAAGAGAAAAATCCTAAATCTTTATGAAAAGTTATATTATTTATAGGACTCTCTTTGCATAGGACTCATCAATCTTCGAGCTAGTTATCTACTTTGTAATTTTACCATAAAAGGATAATCTTCCATATCCATATTTGGTAGTAAGAAAATATTCAGTCAAAATCATACAGTTATGGAAATATACAGTCAAATGTCTTTTTGGTAACTATTTAAAGTAATAATATTTTTGATTTTATTACAATTAATATATCATTCAAAAATAATTAAGTGCAAATTTGAGTGCAGAAATTAATTATGTTAAAAAGATTGAAATGACAATTATATAGTAGTACATGCATTGAGAGTGGAGCTTTTGCGAGAAGGTGATCTTTTTTTCTTTTACTGAGGAGATTAGTGAAGTTAATCTTGCCATTGCCAAGGCTGTACAAGCTAAAGCTTTTTGGTAAATCTTCTAAAAGCAAGATTGCTTCTGATGGTACGTTTTAGCTCATCAAGTTTTTGTTGGCTCTTTTGGTGCTTCTTCTACAATTTTACAAAAGTGATCATTTTAATTAGAACAGCAAAGTCTAGTGTCGTTCCATATGTAAAGTTAATTACTCAGAAACTGAACTTTTCAGTTCTGGACTTTGGGATCTTTATTTCCCAAGTAATGAGATGGATCTTTGGTCGCTTAACCACAATAAGTTTCAATATATATAGAAATAGTTAGATGGCGTACGTACATCAACATGCTTTTGTAACAGAACATAAATCTTTGGTCGTTTAGGATGAGGATTATGAAGACTGATCAAGAGGATGTCGATGATACGACGATAAACCCAACCAATTGTTTTTAGAGAAATCCCCATCGATAGATAGCATGTTTTAAGATTTTTCTTTTCCAAAAATACCATCATTTTTTTTTCCAAAAATAGCACAAAAATGTTTATTTTTCCAAAAATACTATAAACATAAAAAAAATTGAATTTTGAAGATGTAGAATTGTTTTTTAATGTTTGGGTTAAATATTGAGAAATTGATACCAATAACCTTTTTATGATACCCTCTTTTAAAAATACCCTTTTTTTTACCATTTTCATTTTTGCCCTCTCTTAATTTTTAATGGCTATTTTACCCCTATTTCAAAGAATATTCTTTCACAAAGGAAGGAATATTCCTTCCAAAAATTTTCCCCCCAAAAATTTCCCGCCAAAAACTTTCCCGCCAAAAAAGTTTCCGAGAAAAAAATTTTCCCGCCAAAAATTTTTCCGAGAAAATTTTCCCGCCAAAAAATTTCCGCAAAAATTTTCCCGCAAAAAAAAAAAATTCAAAATTTTCCCGCCAAATTTTTTTAAAGGGTTTACAAGATTTTTTAAAGGGTCTTTTAAAGGGTTTACAAGGGTTTTTAAAGGGATTTACAAGAGTTTTTAAATGGTTTTTAAAAGATTTGTAATGGTTTTTAAAAAGTTTTAGAAGCCTACAAAGGTTTTTAAATGGTTTTTAAATGATTTACAATGGTTTTTAAACGTTTTTATAAGTTTATAACAGTTTTAAAAGGATTTACAAAAATTTTTAAAAGATTTTAAAAATTTACAAGGATTTTTAAAGGTTTTTTAAAAGGATTTACAAGTGTTTTTAAAAGGATTTAAAAGTATATTTAAAGGCATACAAAGATTTAAAAATAGTTTTAAAGGTTTTTAGAAGTTTACAAAGGTTTTTGAAGGGTTTACAAAAGTTTTTAAAGGTATTACAAGTTCTTTAAAATGGGTTTTAAGGATTTACAAGGGTTTTTAACGGGTTTTAGAAGTTTACAAAAGTTTTTATTAAATGATTTATCACGGTTATAAGTGGGTTAAAGGGATTTACAAGTGTTTATAAATGTTATAAAATGATTTACAATGGTTTGCAAAGGTTTACTCAAGTTTTGAAAGGTTTTGGATGACTTTTAAAAGATTTACAAGAGTTTTTAATGGATTTTTTAAGGGATTTATAAATATTTACAAGGTTTTTTAAAGAAATTGCGGAAAAATTTTAGCTGAAAATTTTTGGCGGGAAAATTTTTGTCGGAATTTTTTTGGCGGGAAATTTTTTTGGCGGGAAAATTTTTGCCGAAAATTTTTGGCGGGAAAATTTGACGGGAAATTTTTCGGAAGGAATATTCTTTTTGTTGGAAAGAATATTCCTTTTTTCATCATGGGTTATAATAAAGGAGGGTAATTTAGTCATTTTGTACATTGAATAGGGTATTTTTGAAAATGAACACCTAGAGATGGTATTTGTAAAAAAGGGTATCATAATAAAGGTTAGTTGTGCAAATCTCCCTTAAATATTTACATTTAAGGTATAGTTTTTAGGGGTAGGTTGTAGTGTTTAGGATTTATAAATTAGTTTTGAATGTTAAATTTTTAAGTTTTAGTTTAATGGTATTTTTGGAAACAAATTGTAATTTAGTGGTATTTTTAGAAAATAAACTTTATAATGGTATGATTTGGAAAAATACTCATTGTTGTGGAATTTAAGAGAATTCCTTTTTTTTTACTCTATTCATTCATCGCTCACAAATAACTAATTACATAAATCGTTGCATCACTCGAGCTATGAATGAATATAGTAAAAAAAAAGTAGATACATTGAGATCAACTACTCTTTAACGAGTATCTCAATCAACCCGTATATTCTATTATATTAATTCAATAAATTTGATTTAAAAGAGAAAAATGACAAAAGCTTAGATATTTAACATTTCAAAACCATAATATAATATTTCCTCCTTTTTTATTTAATATTTTAGCCAAAAAAATTTGTTTCGTTTTAAGTGATGTTTAAATTTTCTATGCAAAAATTAAGAACAAAATGGACCTTTCCTACGAATAATTCTGGGCCACTTTTACCAATTACTTACCTGAGAATATATTATTTTTTCTTCTAATGTTGGCCTGGATTCAATTATTATTATTATTATTTTTTTTAGTTGAAAGCGTAATCACTTACTGTATGTTTGTAAATATGATATTTCCTATTGGATCGTTCAAGATTTTTCCAAATGTATTAAGAAAATCACTACATTTTCTAGTTTATTTCTTATTAATACATTGTATAATTTTTGTTATTGATCTATACATTAAACTAGTATGGAAAAAACCGAAACATTTACCCAAATATCTACATTAAAAATACAAAACGATATTTGTTTTGAAACAAACTTTAAAGTCTAAAACGAAATTTAAAATAAAACTGAACAAGTATGTCGTTAAATGTTTAAATTTGATTTAGTTTAATGGGTTTTTCCTTAAATCGTTTAGTGATATAAATTATTTTTCTATTACCAATAATCATATCATGTATTTACTCTATTTTATCCGATTACAGTATGTGGTAGTACGTTCGAAATCCCTGCCAAAAATGTACGGAGCAAAGGCAACGATTAGCGTGTGGAGACCAAGTATGGAAACTAGAGATGAGTTCAGTCTTGCACAAGTTTGGATCACGTCCGGAAACTACCTAGAAAACAATCTTAACTGCATTGAAGTTGGCGTGCATGTACGTTCGGAACTAATGGGTGATATGTTTTTTATTTATACATTTATACTAATTGAAATTTTCATTTTAGGTTTCACCAAGTTTGTATCAGGACAATAAGCCAAGACTATTCATTTATTGGACAGTAAGTAACTAAGTAGTATGGTTTATCATAAATGTGATTTATCACTTTTTACAGCTTTTAACACTTTAACTCTAGAACTTATATATACTAACCAGCCACATTTCATGATAATTTTTTAAAAACCACAAAAGCTCTCATTAATTAATCTAAAATTTATTCATATAAGCAAAATATAAACAAAATATAAGTAAAACATAAGTAAAACTATAGAAATATTCTTATTAAGTAATCAAATAAAGTGGATGAGAAAAGCCTAATGTTTACTAGTATATGTTATAAGGGTAAATTATAAACTACAAAGCAATAACTACACATGAAAAATAAAATATCTAAATTTCTGGAAAATTAAAAAATCTGAAATTTTTTATCTATTAGAAATGGAGTGAATATGTCATCAGTTATGATATTTAAAATTATCTTTATATGTGTGTAAATTTTTATATATATATATATATATATATATATCATAAATACAATATAAATACCTTTTAAAAAGCATTTAAAACTATATAAAAACTTTGAAAATCTTTTAAAAATCTTATAAAAGCCTTATAAATGCCGTTTATAACCTTTTAAAACTTTATAAATATTTAGATTGAGTCTCCTAGTAGTAATGATGATCTAGATCTACCTTATAAACTATATAAAAGTTTACAAATTTTCATATTTGAAGGAGATATTTTTGAAAATAGCTAGAAAATGAGGTTTTTTTAAAAAAGGGTATACCAAAAAAGGTATTTTTAAAAACATTCAAGAGTCTAAAACTATGAATGCACACGATTTTAAAATGACTAAAGTTTTTTATGTGAATCCCACAGTTCAGTAGTGATCATGTCAACAAAAAATGAGCTCTCATCGTTTCCCTCTTCCACTTTGACTCTATCATTCATTAGCCTCTCAACAATGGCATTCAACTTTATAAGCGGCTCATTGTTTCCAACAATTATCTGATTAAATATTTCTTTTGAACGTTGATCCTATAAATATACAAAATAAAAAAATTTGTTCATTACCTTTTTGTAAGTTTTTTTAATTTTGTGTTTTCTCTTTGCAAAGGCCTATTCAAGAAACTGTTATCATCTCTTCTATTTTTTTCTTAATTTTAATAATAAACCAGTTAAATTATAAAACTTATTGGGGTCATTTGACGCCATTGCAGCAAACCTGTTATAAAACTAGATTTATTTTATTGAAGAGCAAACATAATTATGATGCTAAAGAATAGCATAAAACAACCATTATCCATTTTTATCACATCTTACAACAACATTGTCCATTAACACAGCCTCCATCATTGTATCTCTTTTGTATACAGTCACTCCAGCATTCATATTCTCCGTACTTTCTTGTACATGGTACAGAGCATACCACATATTTTGATGCCCCGATCACTACAATACATATTTGACCTTATGTTAGAAAAAAGAAAAAAAAGTAAAGTATACTATAACACATACATTAAAACTAATTAAGAGAATAACAAACATACCCGATGAAGCCAAAACGTTAGAGTTGGACAATGTGTTTGTCATCAGTATAGCTACAAAAAATAAAATCACATAAGTTTTTATAATATTCATCTTTCTTTTATTACTGTTGATTCTCTGATACGTATATAAAAAGAGAAAAGTCCTAAATCTTTATAAAAAGCTATATTATTTATAGGACTCTCTTTGCATAGGACTCAATCTTCGACCTTTTTTTATATAATTTTTCCATAAAAGAATCTTCCATATCCATATCTGCTGACTATTTTGGTAGTAAAAAAAATCTTCAGTCAAAATTATACAATCTAGGAAATTATACAGTCAAATATATATTTGGTAACTATTATTACCAAAAAAAAATATATATATTTGGTAACTATTTAAGTAATAATATTGTTGATTATTTTACAATTAATATTATTTTCAATATAAATCTAATTAAATGCAAATTTGACTACATAAATTAATGTTAAAAAGATTGAAATAACAGTTATATAATACACTAGATTGAGGAAAAAAAATACAGTAGATTGATGACAAAAAATATAATACACTAGATTTTAATCCACGGTACATCGCGAGGTAAACTTTTTTTTTTTTGTTAAACAATAGAGATTTCATTAAGCACAAAGTCTTACTACAAAATATCATTGATCAGATTAAATGAAATCCTTCTTTGCAGAATAACACATTTATTTTGTTTCATAACTCATTGGAGACATAATCCATTAAACATTTGTTCCAGATAAAGTTTTTTTTTTATTTGCATTGCACAAACGTAAAAAATATTTTTTTTTTTACTGCCAACATGCTCAGGACACTTCATCGATCATGGGTACGTCAAACCTCCGAGTCTCCGACGAAGCGCTGAAATAGAAGCGGTGGTGTGAGCAATGAGATGCATGATTGGCCAAAACTATAGAGATGCCAAATTGTTTATAGACTATTCCGATTTGGGGAAGATGGTGTCTTCTTTCGACGAACGGCCGGGCTTCTCTGTTTATCTGGATGACATCAAAATTGATAGGAAATAATTCTCATCATTTTCTTTGTCTCTTATTTCAAGAAATGTAAATGTAAAAGCGGATAAGTTGGCACAAAAAATTTGTACCATTTCGCATTTTGTCAAGTTTGTAAACAATTTTCCTCTCTATTGGCTTCTATGAGCTAATATATATAGCTGATGTTGAAAAAAAAAATCTTTTGTAAAACTAGATTTATTTTGTTGAAGAGCAAACATAATTCTGATGCTAAGAATAGCATAATTCAACCATTATCGATTTTTATCACATTTTACAACAACATTGTCCATTAACACAGCCTCCATCATTGTATCTGTCTGCTATACAGCCATGAAAGCATTCATAATCTCTGTACTTTCTTGTACATGGTATAGAGCATACCACATATTTTGATGTCCCGATCACTATAATACATATTTGAGACCTTATGTTAGAATTAAAAAATAAAATAAAGTATACTAACACTAATTAAGAGAATAACAAACATACCCGATGAAGCCAAAACGTTAGAGTTGGACAATGTGTTTGTCAGTATCACTACAAAATATAAAATTGCATAAGTTTTTGTGATATTCATTTCTATTTTCTTACTGATAATACTCTAGTACATATATTAAAGAGAAAAGTCCTAAGTCTGTATGAAAAGCTATATTTATAGGTTGTATAGGACTCAATTTTCAATATAGTTATTTACTTTTAATTTTACCATAAAATAATCTTCCATATTTCATATTTGCTGATTATTTTTGGTAGTAAGAAAATATTCAGTCAAAGATTATACAGTTTTGAAATATACATTCAAATATCTTTTTGGTAACTATTTAAGTAATAATATTTTTGATTTTATTACAATTAATATCAGTCAACATAACTTTGATTAAATGCAATTTTGACTACAGGAATTAAATGACAATTACAGTATAGTATATATATATATATAATTTTTTTTTGAAAAACCACAATTACAGTTTATAATACATGGTTTTACTATTAACAAACGTCGAAACAAGTAACGAAAACCGTGAGAAGTGATAATATCATAAAAATGGTTTCATTTTATTTAAAAAGCATAGATACTTCAAGCATTCATCAATTTTTGTCACATTTTGCAGCAACATTGTCCATTAACAGAGCCTCCATCATTGTATGCCTTATGTATACAGTCAGGCCCGATGATACACATGTGCAACAAGTGCATTTGCACAAGGACCTCTTTTTTTTTTGCAATTTTTTCAGCTATTTAAGACATATTTTTATATTTTAGGGCCTTTTTACAAACTAAAATCTATTTTATATCTACAAATTGAAGGTTTTTATAATTCTATACAGAGTCTATTGTTTTGCTAAGCCGGGCCTGTATACAGCCATGCCAACATTCATATTCCCCATACTTTCTTGTACATGGTATAGAGCATACCACATACTTTGATGTCTCGACACTATAACATGTATGGTATATACGATTCTATATTTTTTTGGTACCAAATCATTGAAATTATTTGGGCCTCCTTTGCTGCACCAAGAATACTTAAATTTGGAACTTTACAAAACCTGTCCATTATCCAACAAAGTCTCCACATCCATTAGCATTATGCATCACTATAATGAGGAGGAAATTTATGAAGGCTCATATTGTAACTGAAATCAGCTCCTTTGACACACAAAAATGGCTGCACAAGATTTCTTGTAAATGTATATATCAATCTTGTGCAAAACTGAAACTGTTTTACCATTTATCGCTCGTCAAAAGCTACCCATAGATGTAAAGGGAAACTCTCTATGGCTTGGAATATATGAGAGCAACAAAATATCTTATATTAAAACTATAAAAACATAACTAAGTTTGATCTACCAAATGCTAATATTTGGCATTGCATAGCACAAACTTTACTACTAGTTGTTCTATAAACAAACTTCGAGACAAATAACTAAATCATATACTCATATAGAAGCAATGATATAATATAGTTAGTTTTATTTTATTGAAGAGGATACATAAATCTGATATACTAGAAATTAGAATATGATTTAACCGCTCAAATCGCTGATATAGACCATAGAGCAATCAGGTTTTGCAACAACATCGTCCAGCAACACACACTCCATTCTTGTACTTCATGAAAATACAATCATATCGGCATTCTTTATCTCCGTACATTTTTGTACATGGTACAGTGCATGAATCATCATTTTTTGCTGTTTCGATCACTGTAACGCATGTAAGACTTATGTTAAAAGAAATGTAAAATTTGCATGTTGATATATAAAATTTTCAAATCGGGTTTTACATATATTTTTTCCTTACTAAAAATTAAGATATTCAATAGTTACTTTTAAAATATCAAAAATAAATAATTGAACCATAACAACATACCCGATGAAACCAAAACATCACAGTTGCTCGACAATGAATTTGTCAAGACCACTACAAGAAAACAAATCACATAGGTTTTTGTGATATTCATTATTTTTGTTCTCACTGTTAATTTAATTCTCTGTTGTAGGAAAAATAAAGAGAAGTCTGTAATTCTCTAATCTTCACGAAAATCTTTAATTTATAGAACTCTCTGCTGAGAAAAGTCAACCTAGTTATTTAATTCAATTTTTGTTAATGTCATAAGTGAGTCTTCCATATTTGCTGATAATTAACCATTTAAGTATACAGTCAAAGATGTTTTTGGTAACCATTTAAGTAATGTTGTTGTTGATTTTGGAATGAAGTGAGATGAGAAAAATGGAGAAACCACTTGTCAAAGGAAGATTTCAATCAAGTATAAAACATCTCATTCAGTATATCAAATTAATCAAATGCAATTATTAAAGACCAGAAAAATCAATTGTAACTTAAATCAGGCTCTTATAATTTGACATACGTACAAATGGCCACACCTTCTTGTGAATGCATCAACTTTAGGCAACAGTCTAAACCTTTGTCGCTCATCGATATAATCTAAAGCAAAACAGAGAATACTGTACATTCTAATGCTTCATGTCCAAATGTAGAACAAAACTCCTTCTCTAGCTTGGAACATATCACAGAAATGGCAAGTGAGGCCTCCATGTGTAATGTGTTGGTAAAGATTTCAAGCATGAGAGTGCATTTTCTAATATAATTAGTAATCATTAATTGTTCCTCATAAATCACTTTCAAGTACTCGTCTTGTCTTGGAACACTTCTTGATAGCATTTTCTCATTAGTAATTAGACTCCAACAGGTTTTAGAAGAATAAGTAAAGACAAGCATGATACTGATGAGAGACTTATTGCGCAACTCATCTCAGTATCGCAAACACAAGCACGCTTAAGTAAAACTGATATTTATCTTGAATGGCAAAAATAAGAATATTAAAAAATAGTAATATGAGAATCACTAGAAGCCGATAATATAATAACTTAGTTTTATTTCATAGAAAAGCATACATAATAAATCATGATGCTAAAAAAAAGTTCATAATTCAACGGCTTGAATATAATCGTTTGATCGGTTACTGCTATTTTGTTTTGCAACAACATCGTCCATTAACACAGCCTCCATCGTCGAATCTCTTGTGAGTGCAGTCAAACCAACATTCATACTCTCGGTATCTTGCTGTGCATGGTATAAAGCATACATCATTTTTTTATGTTTCGATCACTGCTGTAACACATAACATGACAACTTATGTTATACAAAAGTAACGTTTTTTTGTAAAAGACCAAGTAATTGGACGAATGATTAACAACATACCCGGTGAAGCCAAAACGTTGGAGTTCGAGAATGAGTTTGTAAGTATCACTACAAGAAAATAAAAAATCACATAAGTTTTTGTGATATTCATTTTTTTTTTTGAGTGAAATTCTCTTTTTCAAGTTAAAAAAAAAAAGTCTACTTCTCTAAATCTTTACAAAAAACCTTTATTTATAGGATGAATTATGCTTTAAAAAACAAAAGTCAAAATTTTCATCCTTAATTATTTTTTTTTAGTTTTACAATAAATGAATCTTCCATATATGCTTTTTTTTGGTCAACCAAGCTTCCATATGTGCTAATAACATTATTTTGGTGGTATATAAGGAAATATTTACATATAGTTATTACATGAAATATACAGTCATTGAAGTACCAAATCATTGAACAAGTACGGTCGATACATATTTGTTCATACGCTTTGTCACATAGAGTTTTCCATTAAGAAAACAATTTCAATTATCAAATAAACAAAACGTATCTCCCATTAATCCCCGATTTAAAATCGGATTTTCCAATTCTAATCGTTAGGCTCTTCAGTCTTCATGACCTTAGCGATTTCTAAAACATTAGGTTGAGAAGATAAACAAATACAGTCAGTGAGTGATGATGTTGGTCCACGTAGTTCTTATATATTCTATCACAATCACGTCAAATCATAAACCAAACGATGACCAAGTTGTCGATGTAAATCATATCCAAAGCCAAACAAAATAAAAATAAAAATCATGATATGTCCATTTTTTTTTTTAATTGTATTGGTAGGACAAACGTTAATCTTACTCATTTTAAACAGTTTATATAGCTTTATATATATATGATGCTCGTCACACAAAAAAAAAACTATAAATATAAAGATATCAACTTCAAAAATCAAAACAATGAAACTTCAAAAACTAATATTGTCCAAATAATTTTATATTTTACTGCATATTTTTTTTTTTTTGTCAAACAAGAACTTTCATTCATCTAAAACCTCAAAAGAGGGAAGTTCAAACAGTTTGAATCAAAGAAAATACAATGAAAATAAAGATAAAGGTTCCATGAGTTTTCCAAAAGGATGATCAACTTTGAGAAGCTTACAATCTTTGAAAAATCATTTGGGACCATAGCGGATTCGACCTTGAAGACGTGCTTCGCGAAATCCTCGACCAAAAAATGGTCATAGACGGCTCTTGCAACAAATGCATCCGAGCTTTTGAAAGAGTGTTCCACGGAGGAGACACAAATTGGGTTTCTCGCCAGCATGAGAAGGTTTAGGAGCAATGGATCAAAGGCCATCAAACTCATAGAAACATAACTCAAGACTCTAGATGAAGCTATAACCGGGACACTTACAAGATTGATGCAAAACCGTAACAGAGCAGGTGGGTCCTCCCTCACATGAAGCACGTAGCCATGGAGGTTAAGGAATTCCACACAAAGCGTGTAGCCGGTTTGACAGTGAAAAATGAGAACAGATCCGAGCTTCAATCCTTGAGGCGATGGGTGGGAATTGGGATTTATTGGGGCAGTGGAGGTGTTGGAGAGGGTTGTGTTAAACTTCAGGCTTTTGTAAACATACCACAAAACCATAAGAGAAACTAAAACCAGGATTTGAAATTGATAGAAGTTAAACCTTAACAATGAGGGTAATCCTTCACTCTCATGGAGTCTTCGGCCACAGAGATAAGAAGATCGACACAAAAATTGTTGTAGATTTAACAAGGGAATTATAGAACTAGACCTGGGCTTATTAGCATTAGAAGCCTGATAAGAGCTTATGGACTTGGGCCTTTCATAGGCTAATGGACCGAAATTGGAGACAAGGCCCAATAAAGGAAACCCTAGCTGCTCCTTTGCTGGCCAAGATGTGAAGTGGAAGCGGCGCCTGGTAAACTCCGGCGGGAAGAGCAGCGGAAGCAGACGGTGGCCATGGAACGGAACTGAGGCTGGACTCCAAAGGTGAGAAATCTTTCTAAAATTGGAAAGAGTCGCCCATAAGAAAAACTCGCCGTGCGCCGTCGACGTCTCCACCGGACATGGCACATCTGACGGTCCAAGAGATATACCTCCTGCCATCAACGAAGTCCGGTGTGAGATTTCTTCTAGGGTAATTGGATTAGCTCTGGACCTGGGAGTGGAAGGTTGAACGAGCAAAAGGTAAACTGGGAGGGCAAACGCCGAACCCCAACTTCGACCTCTGTCGTTGGTTTCTTGGTTGTCGTTAAAGAGCAGTGGGGGAGAGAGGATTGGCGAGGGTTGAAGCAAAGCTTGCAAAGATACAAAAAGGACTAAAATGATTGACGAGGTAAGTAGAAACCAGAACATGTTGATCGGAGGAGTCAGATCCCGACGCCGACGATAAGCACCTCCACCGGCGTCGGAAGCTTTGGTCGAAGAGGGTTTCTCGATAACTGTGGCTGGGAGAGAAACTCTTGTAATAAAAATTTCACAGACTTTCAACTCTTATATTTTACTGCATATATTTCGAATAGTTTGGTATGTTCTTCCTTGTGATATAAATTTCAAGTAAGATTATTATGTATGGAATCAAATTACTTTTTTTTTTAAATGATCCATGACTAGTTTCGAATATAAGAAAAAAATATCAATGATCGACAACTTCAAAAACTTTATGAATATGTAAATAGTGGTTGCCTCTTGATAGTACATATAGAGTACTACTACTACACAAGAAGAATTATAAGAAGAAGCAAAAAAGGGACAATATCAAATGAATATTACGTTAAAATTAATGTTGTCTTGTCGAGAGGAAGAATATTAAAAAACAAGTGATGACCCCCACAGCCACAAATGGGGTCTCATCTCATTGTCATCGTTTTGTTGCGTCGAAATTTGGTAATGATTCTTTGAACTTTTGACACAACTTTGGACATAACCTGATGGAGGGGATGAGATGATAAAATGGATAATGGTTCAAATGGGTCGACCCATTTCGCTTTCTTTGCAGCTGTCTTTGGGACCATCACGCTTACACTTTTTTTATCACTTTCTCTTGTCTCTCTCTTATATAACACTCATCAAACCTCGAACTTTAAGCTATGAATGGTGAACTGCTTTAAACATACACATGTAAGCATCCTTTTAAGGCTTAGATAATGTACTAAGGAGCAGAACAAAGAGTGAAAGAAGACTAATATTATTTATAAGACAAGGCCAAGCTACAAGGACATACCAAAGAAAAAAACAAGAGAAGGTGATCAAGGGGCAAAAAGAAAAACAAATAAACAAAGAAGATCACAAAGAGTGGTAAAAGAAATATTTACAAAGCAGTCAAGAAGAAGAAAAAAAGCAAACAAAACCCCTTTGCATCACCTTGTCGCTTGTCGTAAGCCAAACCCTTCCAAAAGTAAACTATTTTTTTTTTTACTACGATAGAACTGAAGAAGAGGCCTTCAGTTTCATACTCCAAACTGTAGATTGTGTCTCGTTTAACTCTTTCTCTCTCTCTCGAGTTTTACTTTCTACTATATGATGATTTCTCAAAACTGGCATGAAGTGCCAAGTCTCTGTCTCTTACTCAGCGTTGCGGTTTTGCGTTTTGCGAAAGCCGGTCCAAGTAACTCTTGGAACCTCTCCAAGAACAGAGCCCACTCGTCCTCTTTCATGTCTGCTACTTTCACGAAGCTTGCACTCACTGGAAGCTGTTCGTTTGCGCTTTTGTGACCCGACGAAGTGTTCTCGGACTTGCCTCTGGTTAAGGGTTTTGGGTGTTTTCGTGCTGTGTCGCTAAGGTGTGTGTTCTTCATTGAAGTCGAAAGCTTTGAAAGAGATGGAGCCTTGTCATGAAAAGCAGCTGAACTAAAAAAACTGTCTTTCATAATGATCATAGGGACAGCATTTTCAGTTTTGTCCTCTTCTTCTTCTTCATCTTCTTCTTCTTCCTTGATGCTTTCTTCAAGTTTCCCAAGCGAAGAACGTCCGTTTGAAAAGGGGTTTTTGGTGAAGTAGTCATCGGTTAGTTGTATCTTGGTAGCATAGACTGATTCTAAATCATCACAGTCTAGATCAAACTGAAACTCTGCTTCTCCTACTACATCTGACCTTGGAGAGAAAACATCTCGTTCAGTGACTGATCTCTTGGCTTCAATACACACAACCTCGAGTTCACTTGGCTCCTCTTCTCCCGGTCGAAATTCCCGAGTCATCATCTCACCAATCTCGGCAAGACACAGACCATAAGAAGCAGCTTCTTTAAGAAAAATAGTACAGAGCACAAGAACCCGAAGACACGCCTCTCTAATCATCGGAAGTTCTCTTCTAAGCATTTCACAATCCTTCAATGGATCAAGACTTTGTATGTAGTCAAGCTCTTCATCAGAGAAAGGTAATGATGCCTGTGGCCAATGAATCCACTCAAAATAAGGATCCTCTAGGGTTTCTGGCAAGCATAGGCCATGATCTATTGGAATAAGCTCTACCTGACCAAACATCCCAACTCCATCGAGCTTCTTCACCAAAAGATTCCCACCATGACGGTCTGTGTTGAAGATCCTTATGTCCAATATACCAATGCGGTGCACAGAAGCTACGGGGAAGCTTGAAGTGCCATGATCACTTGCATCGAAATCATGAGCCACAAACTTCTGAAAAGAAGCAATCTTACTAACCAGCTTCTTCTCCCGAGGCTTGTTCCCCTTCACCCCATCGTTGACATTGAACACAGAATGAGTTATCTTCACAAGAGCAGTGGGAGGGACATTAGCAAAGCGGCCATAATCAAGAAGATAAGCTGCAACTTCTCTAAACCCGGTTTCCCCAACACGTACTGAAGACTTTAAGCCAGGCTGCCCCAGGGCTTTCCCAACAAAGCCTTTTGGATTGTTAGGTGCAAACGGCTCTTCATCTGTTGGCTTGACAATCGCAACACTCTCACCCCTTTTGTTCCTAAAATAGTATGCACCTCCAAGCCCGCTATGAACAGCAAGCGGTTCAACACCCATCTTAATCGCCTTGACAATGTCCTTCACCATATGTTTGACAATAGAAAAGCAATCTGAGTGTCCCAGTATCTCTATAGGACCACTTCGGTCTTTCTGTTGCAGATCCTTCCCAGTAGGTGAAAGACAAGGAGTCGACGAGCTTCTATGCATAAAGTTACGTTTCAGCAGAAGCGGAGAATCGTTCCTCACAGCACTCAGGTCATTCGTCAGCACCATATCTCCATAAGTCAAAGAACTTTCCTCAGTAGGGAAATTAAGAGCAATCTGAAGCCTTCTCTTGACAGTATGAACATTGTCACTACGATCCAACTCCATTCCCAAAACACAACCAGTTTCAGTCTGCACAAAAACCCTCCTCCCCGAGGATTGCCTCTGTAGATGCTGATGCTTATGATGCTGCTTCCCATCCATACTAGTCGCCCCACTAAGAGGGGTCTTAAACACTGCCACTGCCATTTGTGTCTGAACAGGACTGTCTAAGTTCCTCGACATGAAACGAAAGAAGAAACCAAAAAAGGCCTCTTTTGGTGAACAGCAGAAGCAGCAGCCGAAGAGAAACCTTCTAAACCAGTGCCTATGTCTGAAACCAATACGAGCCGAGTAAAGCAGATACCTAAACCGATCATGAAACGAAGAGAACCACACAGCTTCTATAAACAGTAGCCAGTTTCTTCACTAACTAAAAAAAAAAACTCGAGCTTTGAGAATGAATTTGATCCCAATCACTACATCAGGTAAGCCATGGTTGAAGAAATCTGAAAAAAAAAAAAAAAAAAATCAAGAGCACAAACAAAACAACATCACTAATCTAACAGATCTATCACAATAATCCACAAATTTAAGATCTTGATCCAACAAATGTCACATAAATCAAAAATTCCAAATCAATGAGCTTTTTTTACAAAAAAAAAAAAAAAAAAGTGTAAACTCACCGGGAAAAAAAAAGGAAGAAGGCAAGATCTGAAAAAAATATCAAACAATCGTACGGACGAATTCGTATTTCAATTCAAAGACATCATCATCATCATCATCGTCGTCTTCAAAAACAGAGAAACGCGCACATGGAAGAGAGGCTTCAATGGAGGCAAGGAATCTGATGAAGGAGAAGAGAATCAAAGATATTTAAAAAAAAAACTGAGTGTGAAGGAACCAGTCTGCTCGATTGATCCCTAGCCGCCTCTTTCTCTGTGAGTGTGTGTTGTCTCCTTCGTTGATTCACCTCTCGAACTCAAAGGAACGCTTTTTAACTCTGATCTGAGTCTCGTAAGCCACTCCTCTGGTTAAATCTCTTAACCATGGTTTAGAGTAAATTTTTTCATCAAACTTATTTATTGGCTTAAATTATTATATCTATCCTTATGCCACGTCATCGTATTATTTTAATTTTTTATCCTTATGATTACTAATTTACTATAGTTTTTTTTTTTTTGTGTGGTATAATATAACCCTCTTCAATTTTGTTTTGTTTCGTTTTTTAATTCCACTAGATTATGATTTTTTGGTTGTTGTCGTAGTTTTTACTCGTTTTTTATATATATCATGAGAAACAAAAATATCTATTTTATAACTTCTATTAATTTACACTTTACCTCATTTTTTGAATATATATTTTTTTAAATGTTTGGCAAGGTTTTCATTAAATTCCTTCATTCTCTGTGGGTAAGAGTTTATCATTATATTGTCTTTTAAATTTGTGGAGTATAGAAAATAACTATAAACATTACTTGGAATATAATTATTACACATAGTTCAAGGTTACAAAATAATGATAAATATATTATTTTATATTGTACATGTTCCCTTGATATTTTTTTTGTATAAATCACTACGGAAAAGACGTGCGATCTCACCAATCAAGAGTTGAGAGAATAAAATATCTCATTTTATCATAAATTAAGTACTTATTTAAAAAAAAAACACATTAAAAACTAGTAACATTAAAGGAGAAATATCGCAGTAAATATAGTCATAAATTGTTTTTGACATCAGTAAATAGGAGTCATAAATTGACAGGTAAAATAGTAAAAACTAAAAAGAAAAAGAAAAAAAGAAACATTCATCATCGTTCGTCCCGATCTTTGGAAGAGTCTAGAATATGCCAAGAGAGCCGTTCGATTATATTAGATTCTTTTGGAATCTTGATCGTCCGATCTGGGATCAGTACGTGGCAATGGATGAGTATGCCGACGTGGTTTTAATAAGATTTAGTGATGACATGGACCTACGAAATTGGGCCTTACAACTTAAAAGCCCATATTAAAATGATGTCAAAATTAGCTAGTGGCTTTTATTATTATTAACCTTTGCATTTAACAAAATACCTTACCAAAAATACGTTGAAACAAATAACCAAAATACAAAATTATCAAAATATATATATTTTTTTAATAATATTACCTTTTAATGGGCTTAAGACATTGGACTTACAACGGATCCACAGATTTACAAGAAAGAAAATCGACTATAAACCGGAACTGGAGATCAGAACTAGAAGTTTGCCACCGGAGATATGTGAACCACTGTTAGCACCGGCGATTACAAGAGATTCTGCTTTGATTAAAGTATCAAAATATTTATTTTGAAGTATTACTTCATTCAGATATAAATCATAAAATTAGAGTGTTTGATTAAAATAAGATAAAAATCATATCTTATCTAATTTAAAAATACCAAATTAATTTAATTATGAAGTCCATTAGGTGGATCGAATGAATAAAGCGACTACGATGGCACTTTTAAGTCCACATGAGTAATAGTGAATCATAATATATAATGAGATTAAACCACTTTGGACATAAAAGATCTTGTCTCCATGATGAAAAATTCAGCTTTGAACACTTTTGATTATTATAATGCTTTTAATTTCATTAAAAAAATAAAGAGAGATTAAGCATAATACATTGCATGATCCATATCCATGTGCAGTAGTGTCTTCCCATTAACTCAACTATTATGAAATAATTAAAAACAAGTTTTATTTTCTTTGAACACAACAAATTAGTGTACTACTCTCTTGAGTCCCCCCACTGTTCAGTATTGCAAAGATTTGACATATCAATAAGCATCACAAGCATACATGATTCACTAAATCAAAAATTTTGATCAAGAAACCTCACAGAGGAAACCATCATCTGATTGTTACCAGTAGTCACCACAAGAACACTTGCCATCTTGGAAATGATGGTAACGGATCGGGTCTCTTATAACGATACTGCGGTTTTCAAGCTTTGATACGAGCTTGCAAAACACATGACAGTCCCCACATATTCTCAGATTCTTTCTGATCCTAATGATTTTCTCACTAGGTAATGTCATCAGGCCAAAGACTAAAGCCAGTTTCTCACTGTGATGTCTAAGAGATTCTTCCATCTGTTCTCCTTCAAGATCTTGTAGCACAAAGTTTGTTTCAGAAACATAACCAATACCAATGAGTCTATGGATCAATTGGTTCAGCTCCTTCTTGACTTGAATTATCTGTGGGTGAGAATCATCTCCAATGATAAAAGCATGAATCTTTTTGTTTACTTCGATCCAGCTACATCCAGGTTCTTTGTTGATTCCTCTGTCTCTCATGCGTGTCCGGATTTCTTCAACACTGTCCCATTTCTGAGACTTTGCATATATGTTAGACAACACTGTGTAAGTTCCTGCATCCTCGGGATCGAGTTCTATGACTTTTTTAGCTGCATATTCGGCTAGCACCATGTTTCCTTGAACCCTACAAGCACCAAGTAGAGTTCTCCATGTCACAGCATCTGGCTCACACTCCATTTCATTTAACAGCTTCGCTGCATCGTCGAGCTTTCCAGCTTTTCCTAGCAGATCAATCATGCAACCGTAATGTTCCCTCCCTGGATCGATTCCATATAGTTTCTTCATTGATCTGAAGTAATACCAACCATCTTCCAGAAGTCCCGCGTGGCTGCAAGCAAAGAGAACTCCGACAATTGTAATGTAGTTTGGCTTTGTCCCAGAAGATTTCATGGATTCAAACAACTTCAGTGCCTCCTGGCTATAACCATTCTGTGCCAACCCTGAAATCATAGTGCTCCACGTAATCACATCTCTCTCCTTCATCTGGCTGAACACACGCAGAGCATCCTCCAAGCTTCCACATTTGCAATACATGTCCACTAGTGCATTGTTAAGTATCAAGTCTTGGTCATATTTCACGATATGAACATGAGCTTGCATCCCAAGCTCTAAAAGAGCCAATCCAGTACATGCCCTCAATACGCTAGTCAACGTAGCCTGCTCCGCAATGAAACCAACTCTCTTCATCCTCTTAAAAAGTTCCAAAGCTACATCGTTTTTACTGTTCTGAGCAAAGCCACCAATGACTGAGTTCCAAACAATCGCATCACCCGTAACCATTTCGTCGAAAACCGAAAGAGCATCATCCGGCTCACCCAATTTAGCAAACACATCAATCAAAGCACTCCTAACAAAGACATCAGACTCCAATCCCTCCTTAATAATCCCACAATGAAGCATTCTAACATCAGGCATCCCATTGCAAGCTCTCAAAACAGAGGAGTACGTATACACATTAGGCCTCACACCATCTCTTAACATCAAAACCAAAAGCTCCAAAGCCTTATGATGAAGCTTGCACTTAGAATAAGCAGAAATCATTGTAGTCCAAGAAATAACATTCCTTTGAGGCATTTGATCGAACAGTTGGTGAGCTTCATTCAAAAGATTGAATTTTACATACATATTGATCATAACATTAACCAGAAACATCATTGGTTGATGACCATTGAAGTATAAATGACGACAAATAAGATTCCCTTCATGAACAGCTCTATGAGCTAAACAACACTTAATAAGCTCAGAATAAGTTGCAGAATCTGCCCAAAGACCATGACTTTGCAAGGATTCCATTACTTTTAAAGCTCTAGGAAGGTCTCTCTGGTAACAGAGTCTGGTAAATTCGTTAAGAAGAAGAGCTTGATCAGTGGAGCTGTAAGAACATCGTAAAGTGAGGACTGGTCCAAAGAGTTTGAGCTTTGCTGTTACTGACTTCATCATCTTCACCATAAACTAAGCAAACAACTCCGCAAGGCTCACAAGTCACAACACAATAAATCCTTGGGTCAGTAGTAACGGCTAACGAGTGGACTTGTACATTCAATTTTCCGGTTTACTGCAGACCAGATTTTTGGAATTTTGAGTATAGATAAACCGATTTTATACAGTACGGCATGATGTCTGAAGACTGAAAGATTTGACAAAGCTACTAAATTTAAGTTTGATAAACAAAGAGACGTAAAGAAGTTTTAATGATGTTCCAAGTAGTTTAAATTGAACGAACATATATGTTTCCAACATCACAGCACAGAGTCAGATACAGTACTCTCTCTAAATCGCCAAGTTAAAAACTAATAGAGAGACATAATGTTTGGGAAGAAAGTTTTTAGACAGCTTCTGGTTGAACAAATGGGTTAGCGATTTCTTCAGTGCCATCGGTTGGTGAGACAAGCATGACCGCTGTTCCACGGCAAACCTGAAAAGCCAGACGAACATACCATGGTGATTCAGAATCTAAACTATGAAACTCTATTACAAGCAACAAGATGTCATAATGTGACCAGAAGAAACAAAGCTCGTAACTGCATTGTGTAGGAATTGCATTTATAGAACTGAAAAAAGAAGGTAAAGGAGTCATACAATTAAACCAAGGCGTCTTGTCTGATCTGTAGTCTTCAAAGGATCATCGTGATCTGAGTCGAACATAAGACAAGGGTCAGAACGTATATCCATGAATATATGATCCCATCTCTAGTTTCAAAATACAGCAACGACAATGATATTATCCCATTCATATCACAACCAAACAACAACCTCTCTGCCAATTCCCACCTATCTAATCGAGACATTTGTATGCAGCAGAGTAATGAAACCAAATGTACAAAGAGTCTCTTATTTATTGGCAGATTCCACTAGAGAATTGTAGCATAGATACAAATGGATCCAGATAGCATAAACTAAGTCATTTCCTGTTATGCAATAATCATAAATAAAGAAAAAACAAACAGCACAACAAGATTGATGCAGTAGATATAGCTGTGAAGAATAGTGTAAAATAAGGGATAGCAACATAAGAGAAGATACCTCTCAAGAATTCTACTGCTTCATCAAGAACAAGATTGAGCAATTGGTCATAACCCTTTAAAGTTCCAGTGACTGCAGATAAACACATTGCAACCATCAAAAATCTCAGAGAAAAAGTAAAAAACTAATCTTTGCAAAACCACAACAAATCATCTTACCTTGTCTACCACCAGTGAGCTTAACTTGCACACCCTTATCCACAAACTTAGCCAAATCCAAAACCGTTTCTTTTCTTCCAGACTGTGGAAAAAAAAAACAGAGAGAATCAAACACTGAGCTAAGCTTGTTTTGATATAAGCAAGAATTAACTTTAAACCATGTAACAATGATGCTACTATACATCAACTTAGGATGAATTTACCATGTTATAGCAAAGTCTTTAACAGAACTTCCCCAAGAAGAACCTAAGAATCTGCAATAAAAAATAAAAATTGAATCAATTGGTTCAGAATATAGTTATGGTGTAAAGTATAAAACTTTAGGGTTTTGCTATCCAATTTAAACTAGGGTTTTGCAAAATTGGAATGGAAACTTGTTAAAACTGAAGTGAGAAATCCAAATTGGAAGAACCCAAAAGAGAAGAAATTGGGAAAACTATATAACAAAATCATTGGAGCTTTATTTATCAGAAATAAAAAAATGGAAAAACCAATGGAGCTTCACAAGCGAACTCACCGGAAAAGCAAAGATCTGAACAGAGCGGGACAGTGAAACCCAGAAAACTCGGCGAAGCAAATCTCGCAGGAGGGTTTTGTCGAATCGGAGATTCAGAGTCAAACAATACTACTGATTGATCTCAAGTCGCCGCCTCTCTAGTGATCGCGTAAGGACTCCGGTTCAAATATCTAACCATGGTTTACTGTATTGAACTATAAACCGGTTGATAAATCAAATTAAACTAAACCGAAGATCAAATTGTCGTCACCGGCTTTTTCATGCATGAAGTTTTAGACCATATATGTGTGTTATGTGTTATTTAACTTTGTGTATAATGATTAACCACTTATCATAAATTCATAACAGTTTTATTATCTCGCTTCTTGCATAATTAATTAATAATACATATTTTTGCAATATATCTTAATTGTTTAGGGCTGTAATAATTATAAACAAATACATACTCAAGGTTTTGGAGGCATTATAGCTTCTTTAACCTCCGTAGCTTTATCTCCGACGTACTTAGCTGTTTTCTTGCTCACATCCGTCGCTAAATCTATGAATTCACCAGCTTTTTCAACGAAGAAGTCTTTGGCTTTCTCCGATAACGAAGCAGTTTCTTTCTTCGTCTCTTTGCCTTTAGCCGTCACAAACTCGGAAGCAAACTGAGCAATTTCAGCTACGTTGTCGATTGCTTCACTAGCTTTCTCAGCCATATAGTACTTTGCTCTCTCTATATGATCATTAACCTCTTGTCCTTTCTCAGCAGACGCATGTCCCAAATCGCTTCCCTTCTCCTTCACGTACTCGGAAGCTTTATGTCTTTTTGTTTTGTGTACGTGTGTAACAATTATTTACAAAATTATTAGAAATGATATTAAAATGGTTAGAATTTATATATCAAAAGGAAAATAATGTAACCTTATAGTGTTCCAATTATATTGAAACCAAATTTTAGGTAACTACAAGCAAATAGACTTACGAGGCATCATCGAGCCATTTGGGGTCGATCTTTGAGTTTTCATGATCACCTTTGACGGCTGTAGGAATCCGTGACTTCTTGTGCTGAAGTGCAATGATCAAATTCTTCCGGCCAGATCTAATCATAGTTCCACCGTGGACGCCGCTTCTCTTGCCTCTGATGTTCAAAAACGAAGAACCCAAACCATTAAGCACAGCTCCGGAGATACACATCGCCATGATATATTATCTTGTCTTTCCTCTCTCTAGCTAGCTAGGACGTTGGAAAAATGTGTTTTGATTTGGAAACAAAAAGAAAGAGTTTCATTTTTGAAAGGGACAAAATGAGAATCTTTTATACGAAACAGGCTTACACGAGTGCAATGTACATTTGAGCATGTTAAATTGTTAATACCCCTTAACTATCCATCCGACCGAACACACAACTTATGCTTGATTACTATCCCTAATAACAAAGTAATAACATGTCGGTCACATGTTATAAACTTATAATAGTAACCTCGCATCCCATGTTAATCCTAACTCATATCTTATCTTCCTCTAATTGATTTTTTTGTTTTTTTTTCTTACTAAAAAACAAAAAAAAGGTTAAAGTAATAAACAAATTAGAGAACGGTATTGGGAGGTTGGATGTTTGAGACAGAAGTGCGTACATGCCGGTCGTGTGTTTCTGTATGGTTAGCCTATCTTGAAATGGACGACTATATATTGATATGTTGCACTAGAAAAGGATTATACATAGACTAAAAAAGGATTATACATAGATACATTTTTTACCGCAATAGTTTTAATTTTTCTTTAGTTTTCAATTTGTTGGATTTGTATAATAACCACTTTATAAATTTATTGATTAACAAAAAATAACTTAAGAACAAAGTATGCTAGTTGAGTTTTTTGTTGGTGTTAAATCTTGTAAAAAAAGACCTCATACCATATATTCCCCATGAAAGTAGAAGAAGGACCAATTCTAAAGTGGGCTCTTGTTTTGTAATTCACAAAACGGAAACGAAAACAACCGTTTGTTTTCTCCTTCACTCGGTTTAAACTTACAAGTCATTATATACATATTGAAAAAGAAAAAGAATGTATATGTGTTACAACTTACAAAGACTATTTCTGAGTTTCTCCAAGGATCCTTAACCAGGAAAACCAACCGGTGATTCCTATGGATAGACTAAAGATAACATGAAGAACGTTCATTGTGACTGAAAATGAATTATGTTGTAAATCTGCAATAATCACAGCCTTACACGAATCGCAATCCAAGCATAACGTATCAGCAGAATTGTTCCATCTCTTGCAATCATCTTCTAAATTGTTATAATATCTTAAACCTGTCCAAATAGTTGGTTGCTCGTACTTATATCCACATGAAAGTGGTGGCTTGCAGCAACCCGACTATTGAAAAAAACAAAACAAACGATCGGTTTCATTATATATAATAGCTAGCTTACTTTCTATTTATAGCTTAGGGTTCTTACGTACCTGTATAGGAGTTAGATTCATCTGGTAAAACTGAGAAGCTGTCATGTTTTGGTTTAACTCGTTACAAACATGGTCCTTAACAAGACATCTCCTAGTACGGTACCATTCATCGTCTTTGACGACCAATCTACGAACCCATCCTGAGTAATCCTCGAACCTATATTCTTGGATCTTGGTACCAGGAAACAACCTAGGATTGATCTCTTTTTCTAGAAAAATGAAAAAGACGGCTTTGGCCACGACCACGAACATCCACAAGAAGAAGATAAAGAAGTGAATTCGGAAGAGACAATCCGATTTGAAGTAAGATGCGCATAATCCAGTGAGGGCCATGACGAGAAATGAGAAGCTTACGAAGATTCCTGGGGCTGTGACGAACCGGTTACACTCATCGGTTCTGTAATGTAACATTACGACGGTGATAAACCAGAAAGTGGATGTGACGAGGAAGATTGCGTTTGAGATCAAGAAAATGGTATTGAACGGGAATGACATATTCTTGAAGTATGAAGGTTTCTCATTGCTTTGTTCTTCTCTATCTTTAGCCATTATAATTGTGAAATTTTTGGGAAAGAAAAAGAAAAGGTCAAATTTATTGAGAAGGTAAATGGAGAAGGGGGGGGGGGGCAAAGAGTTCGATGCTGACTTGTTTCACAAGATAAGTTTAGGGTTTGTAGCTTGTGATTTAAGGAACACAGAAGACATAACAACATAGCTTCTCTGTGTTTGTTTTTTTTTTTTTTTTGTTGTTAATTTGTTGTTGACCTGGTTCGGTAAATATTCCAGCAAAAAAATTCTTAACTAATTTTTTTTCCAAAAAAATTCTTAACTAATTTTTTTTCCAAAAATATTAGTAACATTTTGACATAATTACAAAGAAAAAATAACAATTGTAAAAATTGTAACTAATCTTGTAAAATTGTAAACTACAGCTTGGTTAGTAAAGTTTCGTTGATTTTTATTATTTTGAGATAATTGCAAAATACAAGTTGTAAAATTATGAAATAAAATGATTCTGGATATATTTTTCTATAGTAGTAGTATAGTTGATTTAATAATAAAATAAAAATTAAATCATAACCAATTCAACCACCATGTTACAGTGCGTGAAACGAAGAGCTAAAAATAAGCTCAAACCCCAAACCAGAGTTTTAGTGTTTTGCTCCATCATTGTCGGCCATTAACATTAATTTAAAACTATATATTAAAAAATAAAATAACACGAAACATGTCCCGTTAATTACAATAATATCGCCAAAACTTGTTTCCTCAGTGCTCCCAAAGAAACTTAATTACTACAACCAATTAAATCAATAACCATCCTAAACAAAAATATTAATTAAGCTAAGCTAAAACTTTTTATTTAGTTATATTTTGAAATAATGTAATGTTTTCATGGACGTAGAGGTAAAGACTTGTTGTGAACTGGTCTTCTTCTTCTAAACGTACGATAGTCCATCGATAGATACTTTGATAGAGCCTTCTTCTCTTCTTCTTCTTCATTTAGTACTTTCTTCTCTTCATTCTTAGATTTTGCTGTGAAATCAAAAACATAAACTTGGTTTTAATACAAATCTTATCATAATATAATTCAAGAGAGGTGTCGAATCTTTTCATTTAGTTTTATATGTATACTTAATTAGCAAGATACTTCAGCAAATTACTTATATTTATACATTTACTTGCAACTAAAATACAAACTTCTAAGAAAAAACATTAGTAAACTTTTTCTTCTGACATGGTCAAAGATTCACATGCTTGACTATAGAAGTGTGCTTAAGCTATGTGAATTTGCTAATTACGGAATTACCCATATATTTAAGAAAGAAAAAGAAGAATAGATATCTAAATAATCTATAAAATACTAAAAAGCCTATCATTTCCAAATGATTGATTTACCTGAAGAAGTGACTCGAAGTTGTTCGCTTGAACTTTCATGAACTCTTGATGTCATCACCTATCCATTTGCAAAGGACAAGATTTGATAAGAAACTTTCCATATAGTTCAAATTAGATTTTTGAGGAGATAAACTACATATACACATGCATGTACACCAATCTCTTACATTGACATGTTCACTTGAGATGATCATGAGCTTCCGCGGCACCTTGTTAATAATGCTCTCTTCCCTTAAATCTGTAAGGTTGTAACTAAAGTCAGTTCATTAAATCGGTCTGAAAAGAAAAGACTAATTCTAATTTCTATAGGCTTGACTTGGCGGTAATAAGAAAAAAGAAAGAAAGAACTTAATCACCTTGACTAGGAGATGAGTAGCGAGGGTTTAGTTGTAGAGATGAAGTTGGAGTTACAAGCAATAAGATGGCTAATGCACAAAGCAAGAAGGTGATTCTAATCAGCTCCATATTCTTCAAAGTGATTTTGTTAGCTGTGATAAGCCTATTTTGTGCTATCTTTCTTCTTTCTTCTTCTCAGCTTCTTTTATATCAACTAAAAGGAACTAACACACACATGCATATGTGTATCTATCTATCAATATATAATTATCTTAATGAGATAGAGAATGCACGAAACACAAAAGTGAGAGTTTCAAAAAAAAGGTTGAAGATACTATTTATTAAAATATATATAAAAGATTTGATCATGTCAAGGTTTAGAAAGGGGTTCACGCCATTGAGGCTCGTTCTCGGGGTTGTTTGTCTTGGGACAAACACAAGTTTGGCATCACACTTCATCAACCCCAATTTGTCGAGTCTTTGCCTTTCTGTCATTTCTTTTTGTCTCTATCCTCGTATATGCCACGTTCTTTTTATACTAATTTCCACAAATCTTTTCGTGTATATTTATCATCTTATACAAGATATGTATATGTATAGAGAGAAAGATATAGAACCAACACTAAATCATCTTTTTGAAGTTAGAAGGCCTTCACCATTCATGTAAATTATCAGTTCTATTTCTATATATTATGTTTATAGATGTATTTTCGATAACTTGTGTATTTTCTTGAAATAGCTCATAGGTTGATGTCTTTTTTTTATACAGAATATTTGAGTTCAAGTAATTGACATATGGTTTTATATTACTGTATACGTGGTGCTTGTCTTTGCGAGTAGGTAGGAATAAACAAAGTTGTTGAGAGTATCATCACAACATATTTGCCTAAAACTGTTTGCTCGGGTTTCTCTTATCCTTTCTCTCACTTTTTGGGACATTCACACGCCTAAGTTACTTGTTTAAAAGTGCTACCTAAATGGGTGAAGATGAGAACATCACTTTCTAGTTTGTTACAAAACATATTTGCTAATATGGCATGATCTTAATTATCACGTCTCAAAAATTTTCAACTCCAAACGTGTAGCCCAATGGTTTGTGCAAGTGAATTCTGTATGGGTTTATGGTTCAAGCATCGAGTTTTTTTTGTCACTTACAAAAAATTCTTTATGATTATTTCTTGACATCCGACTTTCACATGTTTTAAAACTTAGTTTGGCTTTTGGTTATAGATATAAACCAAGTAGACCAAACTAGTAAAACCTGGTAAGTGTGTTTTCTTTTGTATGAGCTCAACTACAACGTTGAGTTTGCAATTTACTATTGTATAATTAGGCAGGTCAGCCTAAACTACTAGGATGGGAATGGATTATTTCATCATGACATTTCTAATCACAATCATCACCACTCGTGTGACCAACGGAAAAATTACCAATAATTCAAATGTAATGCAAAATGTGACTAACCAAAAATAAAGGCTTATTATAAATTAAAAAAACTATACATATAACTAAAAGAAAAAACATAATTATAATTGATATAAGTAAAATAGTAACAAGAGCGAGACAATGGTCTTGAAATCGCTGAGAGACGAGACACATGTCTTGGAACATGGAAAAGATGTTGACCCAAGTCGCTGAAATGTTTGACCATAATGACATTGAATTATGGAAAAAATACTTGATACTATAAATGAAATTAAGTTATTTAACAAGTTGTACTGTAACTAAAAATGTTTTACAAAAAAAATCTTACGAAAAGGATCATGTATCAAAACAATGTTGTATGAAACATGGAAATATTTCCTAAACGAAACATTGTTGCTCATGAGTGTCTTGTATATATTGGCCATGTATATATGTATTCAATTTGAGTTCATTATTATTACTAAGTTTTAGGTTCCTTATCAGTTTTCCACAGTTTTGATCTTGATCTTGATTTGTTATGGTATCTTTCATACACGACTATTGTGAGCTTATGGATATAACTTATAAGCTATGATTATGTTTTAAGCATCTTCGAGACTCGATAGCTATGCTTATATCTTATGGTTGAATTAAAAAGTACAGTTAGATTAGTCATCAAATATATTTTAATGCAAAATTTAATTATTGCCTTGTTGGTTTAGCTGGATATATTAGAAAGAGGTTATTTTTTTTTTGGTATAGTCGTCTAGACGTCTACCAAATATTTGTTCAAAATTATGTTATATATATACTTATCCATGTTTTCTATTTCTTCAAAAATTTATACAATAGTAAATAAAATAACAGAGCGACAAATATTTTATAGGTTTTTGATTAATATGTTATTTTATTATTGTCTTAAAAAGTTTACCGTTTTTTTTCTCGAATCGCTTTTATATAATTCCATTATTAAAAAATAAAATAAAAAGACCTAATGATATAAGAGAAATGAATTAAAACAATATTAACTATGAAATGGTATAAGAAATCGTTTTTTTATTATGTTAGTTTTTCATATTTTTTTTATATTTTTGCATTTTTCCGTAATTGTAACCATTTTTTCATCTCTTTAATTTACATCATCAATTAAATTTATGAATTAAAAAATCTTTTAGTTAAAAAAAATTACAGTTAACAGTAGTAAAAATATGAATCTAAAATATATATCTTATACTAATTTTTTTTCTTATCAACCTTTCACAGAACTCAAAAATGTATTAATCGCTAAGAAACGTATTAACGGTCTAATTTAGTACTATCACTGTCATCACCGGCGGATTTAAATTAAATACAGTTAAGAATATATATATACACACATTAGTCAGCATTTTTATTTTTCTAACAATTTAGGGTTTTGAGAAAAAACCTTAACCGCCTCTTCACCAGCGCCGCCTTGGCTCTCTTCAAAACTCCGATTTGTTGTTCTTCTCAGGTAAGCAAGCTTCTTCGATTCTCTTCCTCTCTTCTCATTTCGTCGTTCTCTAAGGTTCGTATCAATCGTAGAAAGTTTTAATCGGAATCAATTTGTTTCATCGTTGTTGTTGTTCGCTGTCGTGTAGAAATTGTAGAAATCGCTAATTCCGATTCAGATCTCTAGATATTGATGCCGTGTTGTCGACTTTGTTGTTCATCGTGTATTTGATTTTGATGTTTACAGAAGGAGAGATGTCAGTAATGGATGAATCAGGCATGTTTAATGTTCAGCAAACCATTGGGAGTGTTTTGTGTTGCAAGTGTGGTGTTCAAATGCCACCAAATGTAGCTAACATGTGTGTGAACTGTCTTCGTTCTGAAGTCGATATCACCGAAGGTTTGCAGAAGAGTATTCAGATTTTCTATTGCCCTGAGTGCACTTGTTACTTGCAGCCACCAAAGACTTGGATCAAAGCTCAGTGGGAGTCAAAAGAGCTCTTGACGTTTTGTATCAAGAGGTTGAAGAATCTCAATAAAGTGAAGCTTAAGAATGCGGAGTTTGTTTGGACTGAGCCTCATTCCAAGAGGATTAAGGTTAAGTTGACTGTTCAAGCTGAGGTTCTTAATGGTGCTGTTCTTGAGCAATCTTATCCTGTTGAGTATACGGTTAGAGATAATCTGTGTGAGTCTTGCTCGAGGTTTCAGGCTAATCCTGATCAGTGGGTTGCTTCTGTTCAGCTTAGGCAGCATGTTTCGCATAGGCGTACTTTCTTTTATCTTGAACAGTTGATTCTTAGGCATGATGCTGCTTCACGAGCTATTAGAATTCAGCAGGTTGATCAGGGGATTGATTTTTTCTTTGGGAACAAAAGTCATGCTAATAGCTTTGTGGAGTTTCTGCGGAAAGTTGTCCCGATTGAATATCGTCAGGACCAACAGCTGGTGTCTCATGATGTCAAGAGCAGTTTGTACAACTATAAGTACACTTACTCTGTTAAGATCTGTCCTGTTTGCCGTGAGGATCTTGTTTGCTTGCCTTCGAAAGTTGCTAGCGGCTTAGGAAACCTTGGTCCACTTGTGATTTGCACTAAAGTATCTGATAACATCACTCTGCTTGATCCGAGAACTCTAAGGTGTGCCTTTTTGGACGCGAGACAGTACTGGAGATCTGGATTCCGATCGGCGCTCACTAGTAGACAGCTTGTCAAGTACTTTGTGTTCGATGTTGAATCACCTGTTGGTGAGGCGACTGTTGGCGGGCAAAAGTACGCTCTATCCTATGTCCAAATAGCCCGTGAATCAGATATTGGTAAGATGTTTTATGTCCAAACTCATCTGGGACACATTCTGAAACCGGGGGATCAAGCTCTAGGCTATGACATCTACGGAGCCAATGTGAACGACAATGAAATGGAGAAATACCGTCTGAGTGTGAAGAATGGGCTTCCTGAAGCAATTCTGATCAAGAAATGTTACGAGGAGCAGAGAGAGAGGAAGCAGAAGAAAGCCCGTAACTGGAAGCTGAAGTCGCTTCCAATGGAAATGGATGATTCAAGAGGCAGGGTTGATCCAGAGAAGACGGACAAAGAATACGAAGAGTTTTTGAGGGATCTTGAAGAGAACCCTGAGTTACGGTTCAACATATCCTTGTACAAGGACAAGGATTATGAAGCTTCTGAGACCGCTTCAATGACAGATGGAGAAGGTGCACCAACTGTGCCTATTGAAGAATTGCTTGCTGAGCTTGACCTCAGTGAGGAAGAAGAAGATGATGATGACGAGGAGGACATGAATGAGTAACTTCCCTTTCTTGTTCGACTTTTTGATCCCGAAACATTTATATTGTACTCTTGTGTTTCTCTCAAGGTGCCCTTTTTATGTCCTAAGTTTTGTTTTGAATGTAAGCTCTACAGTTTCTGCTTTGGGCCTTTTGCTATATACTCCATGTTTTGAAAATTTCTGGCTAGTATATTTTGGTTCGAAGTTTTTATTTTAGATGTGTGTAATAAAAAGACTCTTTGTTAAAAAAATTATAATAAACGCATCGGTGTTACATATCCCAACCATTCTGATGACCAAAACTCAAAGCCCTAAACTATCAAAATGCCAATTACACACAATGGCATAACTATATAAATCACTCACCCAAAAAAGAGAAGAAAAGAAAAATATTTACTCAGTACTGAAAAAAAGAAAAGAAAAGCACTCAAAATAAGAAAATATTGCAACTTTCATAGATCCTTCTTCTTCTGTGCTTCAAAGTGAAAAGCTTTAGGACTAAATTATGGAGGAGAGACATCAAGAGAATTTACAGCAGAGAAGAGTGTGTCTCCATCCTCCTTTTTGTCTTCTCTTGTCAGCTTTCGCCATTCTTACAGGACTACTGTTCCATTCTGATTGCAATCTGCAACATATTATCATCAAAATTCAGTACAGGTTTGCTGTTTCATATAAGCCTCACAAAGTGATGAGATGAAAAACCAAAGCAATACATGGGGAAAGCAAAGGATCTTCCACTCGTTGTGCTTGCGTCGGATCGAACAGAGAGGCTTCCAGAGTATGCAATTGGTCCTGAGTATGTTATGTGACCTGAAATTGAAACTGATTCTGCTGCAGAGAAACTTGTCTCACCAAATCTGCTTGAGGAAAGTTTATCGTCTTCGTAAGAGTTCACCAAGCGGTTTTGCTGATGATTCTCAGTTTCAGGCTTTTCAAGGTCATTGCAACTTTTGTTTGGTTCTTGAACTGTTGTTGTAGAAGCAGAGGAAAGGTTCTCCTCTGCTGTTTTTGGCTCCTCTACTTTCTCAAGCTTTGTATCGAGACCTGTAGTTTCTAAGCTTCTTTTTTCCTTCTCCTGCAGTCATACCACACATGAGCAAGTTAGAAACTTTTGGATTAGAAAACTGAAACTTCATTTGATGGAGTAGATTGATGAAATGTATTGCCTGATGCTGAGGAGGAGAAAGTTCTTCCGGTCTGTTTCCATTGTCATTTTTGAGAGACTTTTGCTTATCTTCCCTTGATAGAATATCTCCCAAGGTCAAAGATTCCGATAAGAAATCCTCCGATGAAATAACCACTTCGTCCTTTGAAATCTCTTCAGATTCAACTTCAAGAGAAATTTCAGATGGTTTTAAAGCAAGCGTGGGCGATGTCACAATCAAATGCTCTTGATCGTAATTGCTAGAACCTTCAGCATCAGCAAAAGCTTCTCTTGAAGATTCTTCAACATCTTGGACTGTCTTATCATTACAAACCTCAGAAGAATCATCAACCTTACTGTTGCTGTCTTCCAAAGACTTAGTTTCTGAGGGCTTCACATCTGTTTTGTCTACTTTCATCAAATCCACTGAGCCACAATGGTTTGAGTTTGTGGTGGACTTTACAGAATCCTTCTCGCCAAATAAGAACTTCTCTTGAACAGGCACACCTTCATCGACGCATATATCTTTGACGACATGGTAACTATTCTCCTTGTAACAAACAACAATCTCAGGTAAATCACAGGCGGTGACATTCTTGTCCATATAGAAAACCGGATTAACTTTCTCAGGAGAATCCCCTTTAGCAACAAAATCATGACTAGTATCTCGGGTTTTCTTCCCGGCCTCATCGGCATCTCCACAAGAATGAGGTTCCAATATGTTTCCATCGTTCTCTTTATCCCATTCGTCGCCACTTCTTGTATCATAGAACAACTCACACACATTGTTGTTGTTCTTGCCATTTTCTAGGATCTTTACTTCTGCATCTTTCCAGTTCTCTTCAGGGCGTTGATGAGGCTTAACTTCATCTTTGCAACTCTCTACCGAGTTACCAAGCGCATGATCATTATCTGAAAACAGAACGAACTACTTATTTCCATAACATTACAAAGACCATAAAAGCATCCTAAAGCTACAAAGCAGTTAAAATATCACAGACTAAAGGCTAAAACTACAAAGCAATTAAACATCAGAGACTAAAAGATTCAGAAGCTTAAAGACTTTATACCTGCTCTCATCGCTTAAGAGAGTAAATCTTGCATAAAGAGAAGAACTCTTCAGCAAACCAGAGCTATATCTTCAAGCACCAACCGCGAAAAACGATCTACACATCCAAGAGAAAAACTCTATCAAGCAGGAAATACAGAGAACAAGAATGCAAGTTGCAAAGAGAAGACAAGTATAAGATTACTTCATTCTAGAGGATAGAATCTATCTATCTATCTATCTATCTATCTATCTATCTATCTATCAGCTAATCTAAAAGTTAGATACAGAAGCAACCTCCAAATGAAGAGTTGTTCAACGAAGCAATGGGCCATGAAGATTGTGACAGAAACAAAACCGTAAGGTTACATAACTTAACATATGGTCAGTCACACACATGTGAAAGATTCGTTTCTTCTTCCATCAAATCCAAAAACAATAACCATCATGAGGTCTAAACAGATAATAAAACAGCAAAAAGATGCAATCAACCACTACAATGACCACTTTTTCCAACTTTTTGCTAATTTAAAGAAAAAGACATATAGATAAAAGCTGAAACACCATAATAATACGCAATGAGAAAAATATTACAAAAACTAGCTTAACCTAGATTACTTGTAACAAGAGTAAGAATGATTTTGTTACAATCAATGATAAAAGAGAAATCATGGTTACACAAATTAGGCAAAGTTTTTATCTAATAAGCAAAGAATGAAGAATCTTTTAGCACTGTCATAAAAAAGAGACAAAAAGAAGAAAGCTTTAAACTTTTTTTCTTTCTCACAAAGCTTACACAACCTGCAATGCAATCAAATCAATCATATTTATAATTTTTTTTTTTATAAAAAACATCAGAATAAACAATTGGAATTTACAGAGAAAGAAGAATCTAGAACTGATAAAAATCCCAGTTGGATCTAACACAAAACTAATAAAATAAAAAAACTAAAAAATCAAAGCTAAACAGATCTAACAACAAGAATACAAAAAGTCTAAACATGAATCAAAAGATTAAGACTTTAAAAAGAAGAATCTTTACATAGAACAGTGACAAAACCTTACTTGATCAAAGTAGAACTCAAACAACACAACACAACCCTTGTTCCTCCATTAACACAAGAGATCAAAAACCCTAAAGAACAGAACAGAACAGAACAGAAGAAGAAAAAAAAAACGAAACCTTTGAGAGAAGGAGGAAAAAGCCAGATACTTTTTGGCTGTGTTAATAAAAAAAAAAAAAAAAAAAAAACATGTAAAAAGGGATGTTCAAAGGTCAATTAAAAATCACTATCTCTGCAATAAATAACAACACAGAGAGAAGAAGAAGAGAAAGAGATGAGGAAGAGGTACACAATCTCTTTCTTCTTTAAATGCTCTCCTCTCATCTCTCTCTCCTTTGGTTTTCACATTCAATTACCAAACCAAACCAAACCCTTTCTCTCTTCGTATTAATAATAACAACTTAATAAAAATAAAAATTCCTCAGCCATGGAAAACAACATTTATTGCCTTCATTTAATTCGAAAACAAAAACTTAAGCAAAATACAGATTTCACTTTCCCGGAAAAAAAAAAAAAAAATCATAACTTTCTTGAAATCATGTAACGAATTCACTTACTAATTATAAAAAATCTCTTCACTTTCCTGGAAACAAAAGCAAAAACTGAAACTTTTCCCGGAAAATCTCTTTATATAATCATGAGATCATTAGCAACAAAAAAAAAAAAAAAAATCGTACCTTTTCTCTGTCTATATCTTCTCAATCGAGTGTGTATGAATGAACTATGAGTTGGAAAAGATGGAAACTTTAATTTTTCCTTCTTGGAGAAAGGGAGAAAAAAAAAAGATGGGATTTTTTTTGATTTTCCTGGAAAATAAAGAGGCGATTCAAAAGGAGGGAAGGAGAAGTGAAAAAAAGCTTAAGAGCTTTGGAGAAATCGGATCTGTGAAACGGTACTAACTCTAAAGGAGAGTATTTTTCTCTTATGGATTTGACTTTTTATTTGTTTTTGAGGATGATTCAGATTTTTATATATATATAAAAATGTATATAAAGCTTTTGGGATTTATAGAGAAAACAAATAAAAAGTCAACTATCTGCCAAAAGAATTTGGTTAAGCGGTTTATATTTTGTCTTTTTCTTTCATCTCCAAATTTTTTATTTTCTTATCTGTTTATAATAATTCTTCAAGTAGTAGTGTTTTTTTAATATTTTTCTTTTAAAATTCCTGTGTTTAATATAATTTTGAAATTTGTGTATTATTGTGAGTTTTTAGTCCTAATGAAAAAAGGTTGTCCAATTTGCTGAATTTTCTATTTTTGAAAATTATTTAATTTTAATTAAATTAATGGTAGTTAGTTAGTGGGTTCATATAGTATACATGAAAAATGATATAGACGTGAGTTATAAGTCACACCAATCTTTTTAGTTTCATAAATTTCTTATGATTCGGTTAGATAGATATCTATAATTTAAAGCTTTTAAAGAAAACATATGCATGAATTGTTAAACAAGAAAATTATGTTAAAGACTACTAAGTTTACTTATTAGTAGTAGCTTATCTATAGATTAAGCTACATAACACAAGAACTGGTTTGTATAAAAATGAGTGTATTGTTAAACCGAGGAAGTAGATTTATACTAATTGTTACGGTACGTCGTGTTACACTCGATAATCGAAAGTTTTTATATAATACTAATTTGTTTAACCATTGTTTAGGGATCGGGGAAGAGAGGATGATGATTCTCGAAGGTGGTAAAAACAACCACAGTTGAAGTGACGCGTGTGCACCAATTATTATTACCTGTGCAGCTTCCTAAACTAGTGTAATAGATAAAAGCTTAATTCGTCGTCGTGTTCTGTCAAAATCAAAAATATTGTAGTAGAAGATTGGGAATTTAGTAATAAAACCCTTCAACTAATGATTGATCTTAAATAAACCCCTCAATTATTTATTTAACAAACAAATCCGTCAACTAAAAATTTATTAGTGACCATTACCTTTCGTCTATAGTGCTGTCAGCGTTTTGTCAAAAATAAAAAAAACGACATCATTACATTTATTTTTTCTTTTACTTCAAACATTAATACATTAAACAACATGAGTTGTAAATAAAAACCACAAAATGTTTGTGTATATGATTATAAACCCCAAAAATTAATTAGTTTTGAAGTGACGAACTTAATTTAACAAGGCCATATTCTTTAAATTTATGGTGTCAAAGTCAATTAGAAGAGAATTGAATTGATAGTGATTCAAACTTAAGCTTCCAACTAGTGAGTAACTTTGTCAGAAAACTCCAAAGAGTTTAGAAACAAAAATCTCTTATAAGACATCAAATTTGAGTTATCGTGGTAAAACTATATTTGTTTGTATTAGTGTATGTCAAAGATTGCTTGGAAACATACTTATGACCCATGCATTTATGTTTTGCAGACATGTAACAACCGTCAACAAATCGGACACAACAAATGCAAGTGTTTAGTTTTGATGTTTAATCTTGATTTCATAATTTTTATGTTCGAATAGGTTTAAGTACTCAAAATATTTATCGACATTCTTGACTATAGCTAATAAAAAAAACATGTCGTTTTTTCTATTTATTTTGATTATAACTTTATCTTAACAGTAACCATCTGATCTTCACGTCTTTACAAACGGAGGGGAAACTTTTTTAACAAATTTTTAGTTAAGAGGTTTTTCACTAAATATAAAATTGAGGGGTTTATTTATCGATCGATCTTTAGTTGAGGGGTTTTAATACTAAATTCCCTAGAAGGTTTGGTTGCGTACGTGGAGGTGTTTAAAATATCCCCACACACACACACAGCTAGCTGATGAGTATCGTACGATCTCTGCCTGTGCCAGCGAGTTTATTAACTCTTCTCTCTTTACTTATATCGACGGCTACGTTTCGTTGGCTATAGCTTTCGTTAATGCATGTTCCTACGTTTTCATCTTCGTTAATAGTTTCGTATTATTTGTTCAACAAGACTTGATTTAGTTTTGTGTATATAGTACTCTATAGTTGGTTTCTTTTAGGTTATTTATAGCTCCATTATTATGTTTATGTTTATGTAGCAACTAGCTAGCAATGCAATATATTTGGTAAACCATTCTCTCTCTTTTTTTTTTCCTTTCAATTTGATATCTGAATATTACGGATCAAAAATGTATCATCTCTTTGTTTTTTTTTTAATATGAATCAGTGATTTAAGGTTTTTGTATTTGTTAAGGAGTAATTAATATTTAATTATATGTATATATATACACTTTATCCCATTTCATTATATATAAGATGTTCTAGAAAAACTTTTTGTTTCATATTATAAGATTATAAGATGTTTTCAAGTTTCTATGCAAATTATAAATTAATTTAATATTTTCTAATTATGTATATTATGCAGCCTTTTTTATGATTTGTTGAACTTTATAAAGATAAATATTTCTAAAATTATTTTTTAATTTTCGAGTTTACATATAAAAAACTAAAAGTCTTAAACATTAATAAATTAAAAATAAACTTAGAAAATCATCGATTAAAAAAGAATAAATATAATTATTATTTTATTTTATGTAGCGGGTGCTCGAACTCATGATCTCTGATTTTATCAAAATATATGACTTTTGATTAAAACTCCTAATAGCTGATGAACACTTGAAGAGACTATATCCATAGATAATAGTTTGAGTAATCTACTATTTTATGAAAAGAATATCAAATGTTTTTACAATATATTGGATCAAGAAGAAAACAAAAACATTTTGTCAGTGCTATAGTATGAATGCTTTTTTTTTTTTTTTTCTTTTTTTGAACATCTAACAGCTATAGTGTGAATGGTTTGTTCATATTTCAAAAATATATTATCTCTACTCAATATTTTAGGTCGGGGAGGGTTTTGGATATATAAAACAAAAATATAAAACATGACAATATTAATTAATAGGTGCATGCATTAGATCATGTCATGTATCATTATTTTTATATTTATTTTCTTCTCTATAAAATGCGCAGAAGTCACGTTATTTACAATTCCCCAGATTCTACGTGATTTGGGTTTTCTAACTTTATCGGAATTTCATATAAGTTCTTTAGAATTTGATGTTTTTATAAAGTTCTTATTTCAAAACACATAGTTCATAAAATAAATCACACCATAATACTATTGAACCACGTACAAAGTAACAAAGTGGTCCTTTATCTGATTTTCACATCCCCAAATGATAATTTCCCATCGTCTTCGAGGAAACGAAGCAAAAGAAACAGCACTATCAAAAGTGCCAATATGACCAAATAGTATAATTGATGTTTTCAGTGGATGTAAATGAATAAAATGTTATTGTTTAGGTTTGGATTAACCCTTTTAATATTCTTTTTTCAAGTCTACCTTTAATTTGTTAAAAAAATGCATATTAAACCTATGAAATTGAATGTAATGAGCAATATAACTTTCATGTCTATCTTCAGAATGTTTTTTATCGTCACATTCATTAGTGTTTATAAGATCCAAGAATAGATTTAAGTTTCTCATCGCGAGAGATAAGAAATTTTCATATACTATTTATTATAATTTTTAACAATTGAACATGGTAAAATGAGGGTTATATTACAATTTAAATTAAAAATTTTGGGGTTAATTCACATTTTTTGTAAGTTAATTAAGTGTGAACTTGCAAAAATGATATTTGGAGATTTTTTGTTGTTGTAGAAAACTAGAAATCCCTTTATTTTTCCTTACTTTTTGCTAGAAAGTTTCAAAACAATTTGTAAATCTTCTATAGTTTATATAACTACATTAATTTTGATATTTAAATTTTGTGAATCGTTTAGACAACAACGTTAGAAACCATAAACCTCAAAAATAATTTCCAATCCAAAACACAAGTAAAGTCAACTATGCCTCTGACTAATAGAGATAAAATTGACTTTTAAAACAAAAAAAAAAGTCTCTCAACTATGAAAAGAGACAAATACAAAACTCAACTCAGCTTCTGTTTTATTCTACATTTCTACTGTTTTTTGTCTTTTCATGTTTTATTCTTCTTCTATCATATATCTATAAGTGAATTTAAAAAATAGAGCTTACAGATGAATATCAATCTCAACTTAGTCAAATGATAGATTGTGTGAATAAACCAAAAATCAGATCTTAAATATGTTTCTTATGAGTCTCACAGTTCATGTGAAATCGTTTGGCTTCCCAACATTGATGCTCTCTTCCCAACATTGGTACTCTATCACTCAGTTCGAATGGTGATCGAGGTTACTAAATTTCTTAGTTCTTCTTACGATCAAAACTGAATCACCGGATTGGATATTACTTTTATATAGTTTCAACTTAATAAAATTAATAAAACTGATTAGCTTGTGAGTTAATTTACTTTTCAGCGTAATTAAAAATGCTAGATTTACTTGAAGATGATCTAGATTAGAATAGTAAAACAAAGTTTTTTCTAAACACTTTTTTTTATAAACATAATATCTGTTTACATTAACTTTTTCCTCAAACAATTTTCTATTCTCTCAAATCTTAACTTATGATATTATACATAGATTTAGTTTATCTAGAAAACTATTATACTATCTTCATTAGACATATTAGAGAGTGTCCATAAAATTAAACTAAAAAGTGAAATATTAATAATATAATAAAGAAATTTGAAGAATGTGAGACATGGGTTTTAAGTGTATATATATATTCTTTTTCTTTTTGGCAACAACTATATATAAAGAAATTGACTCAAAAATGTCTTTACTTAGATTGAGTTTGTTTTGTTTAACGACACCCATAATGTAATATGATTAAATTTATATTAAGACACTCATAACAATTGTACAATAGCGATAGTCTTAACACTCGATAAGTTTTTAACTTTCTCTTTTCTCAAGTTAAAACTTATTAGGTATTCTTTCTGTTAATG